AAAAAAAAAAAAAAAAAAAAAAGAAAAAAAAAGAAATGCACAAGTGTAAAAATCCATGTGACTTAATGTAAGCTTCTACATGAAGACATTTGTCCTTCAGTAAAGTCCAAGAACCATTCTCCTGGCCCCAATTTAAAGGTAAAAAATTCTACAGACATTTTATGCCCTGTTTTATTTCATGTCTCTTCTATCAGGATTTTAGTCCCTTGCACTAGATGTTAAGGTCTTTGATACTCAATAAATAGCACTGTCCCTCCCTTGACCAATCTTCTGTGCCAGTTGAGAAATAAGGTTTAAAGGGGGGAGCTTTTAGAGACCACAGTATTAACCTCCTACTAATAAAGCTGTTGAGAGAGGGTGACTTACATCCACAGATAAATAAACTTAACACTGAACTCAGAATTCAGCAGACTCACCTAGTCATGGGCAGTTGTGAGGGTCCTGCATTTATGGGTACAGGAGTGGAGGGGAATATCTGCTCCCCGGGGGCAGTTGCTTTCAAAAGGAAGGCAGAAAGAGTCGAGCTCTGTATACCTTGTTTCTCCTTCTAGACTCACCACTCAGGCAAGTTTCTTTGTCTTCCCTGGGGTGGAGAGGAGCCAGCAGTAGAAGCTCAGGAGAGGGGAAGCAGCATTCCTCTTCAGCATGCAGTCACAGGACCATGGCAGAGAGATAATTGGGGAAATAACCTAGAGGAGAGTAGGTAGACAAAGCTCTGTGGGTGAGTCACCAACAGGAGGATGAGCACAAGTGTATTATCATTCAATCCTCAGAACAGCAGTAGTTCCCAGGTGTCCTTAGGGACACTGAGCCTGAGACAGTACACTTTTCTCAAGGTCGCAATGATGGTTAGAGCGTTGGATTCTGTGTGACTCTTCACTTACAGCTGTGGCCATGCCTCCAGGTTTGTCACTGCTCCTTTCCCCTTCAGCCCTCACAGTGCTAAGGTTGCCCACTGTTGCTACCCCTGAGTGGTTTAGGGTTCCTTATTGTTTTCCCCTAATTATCTCTACTCTAACATGTTGGAAAGTTGAGGGCTGCCACAGTAGGGAAAGTAAGCCTTGGCAAATGGGTTGGATCTAGGAGGAGGTGGTAGATTTTGAGAAGTGCTGCACACCAGCTACTCTCAAGGGTAAGGCAGGACGTTTGCAAGTTTTGAGGTTAGCTTGGGCAATTTAGCAACTTAGAGAGACCCTGTCTCAAAATTTAAAAGGGAGAAATGAAGCCCATGGGTAGCTCATTTGCCAGGCATGCATGAGGCCCTGAGTTCAATCCCAGTACTGTGAAACAAACAAAAAAGTTTTTGGTTAAACTGAGCACAGTGGCATATGCCTATAGTCTCAGGTACCGAGGAGGCTGAGAATATATCACTTGAGCCCTGGAGTTTGGGCCTCTCCTGGACAGCCTGTTTCTGGAAGAAAAAAAAAGTCTTGGCTAAAGTCTCGAAGGTAGTAGTAAGGAAGTATGAGGATGACTGGTGACAGTGTTCATTGTTGGAGACAGGGATGAAGAGTCAGAAGAAAGAGCAATGATGGTTAGAGAAAAGGATCTGATACGTTGTGCAAGTCAAGCTAGAGAAATGAGGAGCAGAGTGAACAGCATTGTCCGTCAGCCTGGGAGCAGGAGCAGAACTTCAGGGTGCCTGTGATGACTTGTCTGTGAGGTGCAGTCTCTGTTTCAGCGAATTGGGAGAAGTCAAAGACACTTATGAAGCACCTTGCATACCAGATCATTCTTAAAATGCTATTGAATTCTTCCAGTGCTACAATTTTATTTTCATAGAGCAATTGTACTTTTATACAACTGTCATAAACAGGGAGGGCAAAATTAACTAGAGAAAGCCTGTTTGACTTGCTGTGAGCCACGGCCATGTGAGCCACGGCCGTGTGTTTCACAGAAGGACTGGGCAGTATTGGTCCACCACCTGGGGGTGAGGGGATGAGGTGGAGGGAGAGCTTCTGTCATTTGTACACTTCACATCACATAATAAATTCACACTTGTTCCCCCAAAATTTTGTTAGGTGACTACATAGAAATTTTGATACCCTTTCCCATCTGACAAATACTGAAACTCAGAAGTGTCTACTTGGCCTCATCTGGTGGCTGCAACTGAACAGATCACCAGGCCCTGGTACCTTCATAAAGAGATTTCTCTACCCATAGAAAATTATACATGATAGACATCTTTTTCACTGTAATATTTTATAGTTGTATGCCTTTTAAAGTATTTGACAGGTTTGTGACTATCTGTACCTGTAGTCCAGTGAGGATTTGTTTTGTGTTTGAATATTTCTCACAAGTACATATTTAATGATGTCATTAAAATGGTGCATACTTTTTTTCTAGTACTGGATATTGAACCCAGGGCCTTCACACTGAGCTACATCCCAGCCCTTTAAAAAATTTTTTATTTTGTGAGTAAGTCTTGCTAAATCACCGAGTCCAGGCTGGGCTTAAACATGTGATTCTCCTACCTCAGCATCCCAAGCACTGGGATTACAGACCTGGGCAGGGGCCATCATGTCTGGCTGACATATATTTGTACAAGTTTCCTTTTGGCACTTTTTTTTTCCTTTTCTGTTTTTCAGTACTGGGAATTAAACCCAGGGACCTTCTTCATTCCATCACTGAGATATATCTCCAGAACTTTTTATTTTGAGATAAGGTATTATTTTGGATAAGGCTGGACTCAATCTTCCTATCATCCTACCTTAGTCTCCCCAGTAGTGGGGTTTACAAATGTGTGCCGCTACACCCGGCAGACACATTTTTTTAATTCATAATGTTTTAACAAACTTGCGCTTGACTTATATTCTTTGAGACAAAATGACATTCTTTTGTCACATCCCATAACTAATTTAGCCTTATATAAAAATAAATTGACATTTAGTTAGACACACTTTCTTAAAATTTAAAAAAGTGGCCTCAATTATTAGAGTACACCTTACTTTGAGTCACAAAAACTGAGAATGTTGAACATAAATTATAAGCTCCAGAAATCCAGCCAATTTCAGCACCCTATCCTCGTACCCAGGCAGTGTGACCCACTGCAGCATAACCCAGTGGAGTAGAGCTTTGCTCATTGGGCATTCTTCCTGGCAGGTTGCATCTACTGCAAGTATCATTGAAGATTTCCATTATCACCTCTGCCAAACGCTGTGTAAGACAGAGAAAGAAGTCTAGACCCATTACTATTCCAGTGCCTTAAGCCTTTACCAGCTGTCCTCCAAGGTGGGAGGATCCCTACCCCACCTCTCACTTTGTTCTTCCCTAAATCACATGTGTAAGCCATGTATACCTGTGCTCATATGCGTATCTCAGTTACTTAGCATCATTGCTTCATAGTACCTGCAGTCTCAGGGATGGAATTTCAACCTAAATTCTTCTCTTTTTTTATTGAGTTTATTGATACTTTTTAAGTACACAGTACAGTCACATTCATTAATATTCAACCTAAATTCTTAAAACCCAAACTTTTACCTTGAATTCTTTTCATATATTTTCTCTTCTTACCTTTCAGGCAGTATTTGTGTGTTTCTGCAGAGTTTTGCACAGAACCTGATCCCATGCAAACCAATGAGGGAGAAGTATCAGAGGAAAGCAGTTCCAAGGTCAGTAAACTACTTAATGGTGGAAACAATTTGAGCAAAAATTAAATGGTAGAGGCAGTACATGAGTGGAATGAAGATTTTGTGGGTGGATTTAGAAATTAGATAGGTTTTAATTAGAATCTATCTGAAGTTTGAGATTGTTTTTTCTTCTCAGTGCGTTTTTCTTATGCCACATGACAAATTTTAAATAAATTTTACTGAACTTTATGATTAATTTTTAGATTAGTACTATTTTAAATTTTATTATAAAAGTTATATATACTTATTAAAAATGAATCAAATCAGAAGTATATAAGGCAAAAAGTAAAAGCCTATCCCTATCCTGCTACACAGATGCAGTCCCTGGTAATTTTTTTACTTGCTTGTTTGCTCTCTGTCTTCCTCACATTTTGATAAATATTATTTTATTTCATTCCATTCTCCCCCAGCCCCCTCCCCTCTCTACGTACAAAAACTTTTTTATTTTTTTCCTTCTGTTTTCACTTTTTTCTTGTTCCTTCCTTCCTTTCTCCCGCCTTTGTTCCCCTTCCTATTTGAACACTTTCTTCCCATT